AGCCAAAAATCACATGAGGTCTTTCTGAAAAACTAAGTTCTGTGCAACAAAGTTATTAACTGCTGGGAAAGGCAGGAAAGCTTTTTTACAGCTGTTCATTGATCCACTGAACCTCACCTTACACTCTGCCTTTTGGATCCTGCAGACTTCTGGAGTAGGCTGAGTGAAAACAAAAACCTTGGCCAGAGCAGTTACACTGCTTCTTGAGACATGTTTTTTTTGGGTTCAGACCTCAGATTCTCAGCCAGCAACTTCTGTCCCTGGTGGAAAATTTAAAAAAAAAAAAAAAAAAAAAAAAAAAAAAAAAAAAAAAAAAAAAAAAAAAAAAAAAAAAAAAAAAAATCACCACACCAAAAAAACCCCATCAGGTTTTTCTGCTTTTCAGGAATCCAGAGAACAAATATGAGTTTCTAAGGCATTTGCAAAAGATGCAAATTGACCCCAATGCCCCAGCGTCCTTCCATCCGAGATAGGAGTTATTCTGATAAAATAAAGTCCCAACCATCTCTGCTTGCAAGTCCTGCCATCAGAAGGGCAGAGCAGCACCCAATTCTGAGTGTGCTCCCAGCCACACAGTGCTGGGAGGTGGGAGAGGAGCAGCCTGGCTGTGCCAGCTCCCATTCGGCACCGGGGCCCTCCTGGCTCCCTGCAAGGCACATGCCTGTGCACACGCAAGTCATGTCCCCACAAAAGGAGAGAGCCTGGTCCACCTGATGCTGAAGTCCCCATCACCAGTGCTTGAGTGTCCACAACCCTTGGAAACCTCTTACATGGGCACTACAGCTTGTGCCAGTTACTCCGGTTTCAAACGGGCACAAGTAAGCCTTGGTTTAGGCAATTGGCTGTCATACTGCAATGAGCAAGGTCAGAATTAATTTTCTCTATTTAATTTATGATTGAATAGTTTTGTTCTAAAACTGTACATGGATGCTTGGGGACCAGCAGGTGGATTTCATTGGCACATAAACCATACACAAGCAGTCCTGTTCGCGTTCCTGCATGCTCTCACAGGAGCACACCATTCCTCACACCCAGCCTGCTGCTTATCTTCCCTTCCTCTTTCCCTTCTAAATGGCACAGACAGCTGATGAAGAGCCAGGCACTCACCTTGACCCAGACTCGAAGCTCCATCAGACTTTCGCAGCAGGAACAGCGAGGTCTGAAATGAGAGGAAATGCTTGGCAGGTGCTCCCAGGGGACTGGCCAAAAATAAATGCACTCTCCAGTTAATTTCCATTTGAGTACTACTAACATTTCTCCCTTAAGAGTGCCGCTAAAGCATTTGATTTACACAAGGCGAGGCAGTCCTGTATTTGTTTGCAGCCACAGCGGCAGACCTAGCACACAACAGGCAACATTCAGAACCATTTTAACCACCTGTGTAAGGTGTCCGTGCTCCCCATACAGACAAGGGATCTTTTAGGGTGTGATTCGCTGTAATTAGGAACCTACCTCTCACCTTTGATTATAGCAGGAGTCTAGACATCTAATGTTGGCTGAGAAGTGACAGACTTGAAATAAGCTTGTACAAATATTCCCCAGTGCATCGGTTCCGCAAGGAACCAGACCGGAGGCTCTCTGGGAAAAGGGTTGTATAGCGAGCAGTGCTCGGCACTTGGCAGCGGTGAGCAGCAGGTGAGTCTGTTTACAGGGAGCTCTACTCAGGCGTGACTTGCACAAGGCAAGGCACCTCAGCCAGCACAGAGCGAAGCGGGCTGGGGGGGGAACCGAGCCCCGAAACCGCTTCCCTCCGCTCAGCTGCTGGCACTGAAGGAGGAAAGTCTGCTGGATCTCAGCTCTGGCGCAGGACCAGAGCCGGCAGCATGGCGACCCGCCAGCCCACTGCCCAGGAAAACACTCCTTCCTTCTCCACGGTGATGCAGCTGTGACAGAAGAGCCGGGGAATATCCCCGAGTCCAGTAGCCGCGGGCTACTGAGTGATGCAGACTGAGGGCTGCTTGTAGCTCTGCCATCTCATGCTGCTGCTTGCCTTTTTTTTTTTTTTTAAAGGAACCACTTGGATCATAACTTTAATCAAGACTTTAGAAAACGAGGCATCTAGAAAATTTGACCAGATGCATTCTAGCTTCATAAAGGAATTTAAAAGACCCCCAAAATCGCAATTTTTTTACTTAAAAAAGAATTGTATCTGGGAACAGGTCTATAAAACAATACCTCAGGCAGAAGACAGTCACAGGTGGAAACGTAATTCAGCCTCTGAAATTGCTCACTTTAAATGGTGTATTTTTGTTTTCCAGTTAACTGTGTGGTAAGGCTGTACATTGCTACATGACAGCTCGTTCTGCTTTTAAAACAGCAGCACTTCAGTAGCAGCTAAATTGATGCTTTTTATGTGTCCATCACTTACCGAGGGTAATTGATTAGTGCCTGTGAGGGGTTCTGAGATCTAACGGTTTACATGTTCTGAGCCTGCTAAATTATTTGAATAGATTTAGGAAGAAAAAGATTCTAAATCAGATTTTTGTGTGACCCAGCATTACCTTTTGTAATCAGTGTTTCCCCTGCCCATATATTTTGCTCGGATAGACAAAAGTGTGCTAAGCTGAGGGAGCAGACGTTCAAAGGCAGCAAAAAGAATTGAGCATGATACCTGTTAAAATATAATGGGAAGTGAGTATATTTTCCCACTGAAAGTTTCTCCGATGGCTGTTTATTCCACTTTTTAAGGTTACAGCTTTAATCTAGCTCAAGAGAAGAAAATGGAAAGGTCATAGCTCCGTGGAGCTTGGAGGAAAGCGATTCAACAGGAAGGCAGCAGTGCAGCCCTGGGCAACATGTTCGAGGCTCCAGCCTCCCAACACATCCTCTGTGGTAAAACTGGAAGCATTTAAGCCTCGGCTGCCTTAAACACCGCCCGAACCAAGAATAGCCCGGGCTCCTGGGCACAGGTCAGGCGATGCTGAGTCACTTGCTGGCCAGGCCCCAGGCTCTCCAGCTGCCTTGGGCTCGGCCTCCCTTAAAGACACAACTTGTGCCTGCTGCACACATCCCCAGCTCCAGCTGGGCATGACCAGCCAGGGATGGCACCCTCGGATGTCGGGAAGTTTATAGACAGATGCATTATTCCAGTATGAATTCCTGGTTCGTACCGCCCTATTTCCCTCCAGCTTCGGAGCTCAGCACTGCTGCTGCCTTCCTGCCCATTCAGTGCTACATTCACACATCTCTTTGTAATTATGAATCAACTCACAGGCAGCGGTGCGCACCCGGGCTCACACAGAATGGCAAACAATGTACTGTCACGGGTTGCATCAGCTGCACGATGCTCTCTCATGCCTTCAGGCTTGCTAAAGCTGATCCAACGCTAATATAATAATAGCCTTTTTACCCGCCTCCTCCCCCAACAATTACCAGAGGCTTGGAAAGCCATTGAAATGCAAATAGCACATGGAGAGGTTATTGGGGAACCAGGCTGGGAAGGTACAAATGGTGTCCTGCTAGTTTCCTTTAATTTGACTCAAACGGGACTGTAATCCCGAGTTTCTCTTTGTATAAACAGGGCGAGAGGCAATATTGTGAATGTACAAATGTCCTTGTGTAGCAGCTGAACTGCACCTTCTCCAGCATCGCTTCTCTGTATCTGGGATCCCTGTAACTCCCCTTAGTTGCTGCAGCAGCAGAGAGAATTGCACAGCACAGAAGCATCTGCAGCTGCGATGGCACGACACGAGCGTGCCCAGCTATATTAACTCACCGAAACCCACACCCAGACCTTCCCCCCGGAACGCTGGCGGAAGGCAAGGCATTGGGGAGCCTGCAGTTTGCTGTGTGGCCATAGAGGAAAGTCACCAATACAGGATCCCTCTCCCTGTTATCCCACCGCATGCTCCGACCCAGGCACTTCTAAGGAGGACACTAACTCCCCTGTGGCTGGAGCAGCAGGGCGCAGCGCTGTCTCCCAGCTGCTGTGAGGTGGCGTGGGACTGGGATAACCCAGACACTTCTTCAGGCTCTCAGTCCCCACTAAAGCTTCAGGAATTCCTCCACAAAATAGGCTGCGTCCTCAGCCCCTCTTCTGTAGCAAAACAACCTATAAGTATCACAAAGAAGATATTTACCGTGCTATTATAAAATTCCCTACCCCCGTTCAAAAGACCTATAGAGAAGAGGGTCCAACACTTGGTGCACAAGGGGCAGCTTGTTTCCTTTGGCGAAGAGTCGGCTGAGGGAAGGTATAACGGCAGTTTACGGCTACTCAAGGGCAGTTATTAAGATGACAAAGTCAACACAGCTGGGGGTGATGGTCAATGGGAAGGGCAGACTGGACCCAGGAGAATTTTCCTCACAAGGCAGTGGGGCGGCACGGCCGTTGGTCACCCAGGGAGGCGGGGCAGCGTTCAGAGGTTTTCGATTGATGTAACCTGGTCTCCGTGGGTCCCGCTCCGAGGGGGCCATTGGGCTGGAGACCTCCAGAGGTCGCTTCCAGCCAACAATTCCATGGCTACGTAACCTCCACGTTAAACATTTGGCATTAAAGGGTGAAACTGCAACAGCTCCTTCCCCCGTATTTTCCCTGGAGCGACGCAGAGCACACGCGCAGGCACCATCGCTCCATCCCTGCACCTCTGCCACTGCCCAGCTGGAACACGCGGCTCCCGCAGCTCCGGGGTCCCGCCCACGGGCACACGGGGCTCCCCAAACCCCGGGGGTGCTGCCGCAGGTCCCCCGCCGCCCATCACATCCCGGCAGCAGCAGCAATCCCAACCCCTCCCTGGTTCCCTGCGCGTCTTCCCATCGCTATCTGCCGCGGGGAGTCTCCCCGCTCGGATGAGCAGATGCGGAGCAGCCCCGCACACGCCCGGCGGGAGGGTGCGCGATTTCCCCGCGAGGGGAAGAGGCGGGCGGGTGCCGGGGCTCAGCGATCCGCCGGGGGGGCCGCGGGGACTCCGCGGAGTCTCCCCCTCGCCGTGGCGGGGCCGGCGGGAGGAGCGGGGGGCGGCGGCGCCGAACGCCCGCCCATCCCCGGCGCGTCCCGCCCCGGCGGAGTCGGGAGCCGAGCCCGCGGCAGACGCAGCCCCGCCGCGCCATGGCCGGCCGCCGCCTCCTGGGGCTGCTCCTGGCCCTGTCGGCGCTGCTGGGCGCAGGTAGGGCACGGCCCGGCCGCGGGCACCGCGGGGCGGCGGCGGGAGGGGGCGGCCCGGGGGGAAGGGGGGCCCCGGGGGGCGCGGCGCGGGTGGTTTGCGCATGATCGCGGCGTCGGGCCCGGCCCAGGCCCGGCGGACCCCCCGCCCCCCGCCCGGGGTACCCCGGCGGGATGAACCCCCGGGGGACGCGGGGGTCGCACCCACGCACCCACACCCCCATCCCCGCCGCGGGGGTTTCTCGCGGGGGATGCTTTCCCCGGCAGCGCGCTGCCTCCCCCCGGGGTCTCACGGGGCCGCGGAGATGCGCCCCGAGGAGGGTCCTCGGCTGGGAGGATGCACCCCCGGGGGATCGCCCCGGGTAGGGGGTCTGCACCCCCCGGGCCCCGCCCTGCGCCCTGCACCCCGACTCCGCAGCGGATGGCGGGGTGCCAGCCTGTGCATGGGGCCGGGCCACAGACGATCCGTGTCCCTTGTCCTTCTCCCGACCCCCACCCTGGGCTCTGCCCGCCCCCGCCGACCCTGCCTCTGTCCCCCCTGCTCGCCATGGGGCCGGTCCCGCACCGGTACCCACAGGTAGGGCGGCTCCAGCCCGGCGTTATGTGTCAGTGATGATGACGAACACATCTCGGAGCGCAGCGTCTGCCTCCGGGTGACAGTGTCACAGCGGTGCTTAGAATGTGCGATGCTGCAGGTATAAAGCGCTGGAGCAGCCTGGGGCTCAGCTAATCCCAAGCAGAGGGATTCATGGAGTCATCGGGAAAGGAGTTTGGGTCTGTCTCTGTGCTCACTGAGCTGTTGGATTAGCGGATTCTCTGTGTGACCCAAATTTGTCGGGCTGCTGGTTGTATCCTCACTCTTTTTTAGTCCCACTGTTATTTCTGCAGATCAGAATAGCCTAACCCAGAAATCAGTCCCAGCTGAACAGCAACTAGGAAGATAGGGGAAAAAATACCCTTTATTTTCGGGGGGGGGAGGAGGGCGAGGGAGGAATTAAAATCAATGCAAAGCTCACCACAACTCTTTGTTTCCTTAAAAAAAAAGGTATTCTTAAAAAGCTGTTTGTGTAAATAGAAAAAAAAAAGGCCCTTTTAAAGGTTATTCAGAGAAAATAAGAGGCAGTTATGTAAAAGGCCTCGGGAAAGTTTTTCTAAAAAAGACCCCTGCTATTAGCCAGGAGGCACCTGGCAAACACAGGCTGGTTAGAGGGTATCATCAAAGTGAATAGTGAACTGAACCCCAAACAGCTTTTGCTGTTGGACTAGATTAGGTTTTCCATGAGTCAGTCTGGAATTAGTCTCAGTTTGTGTTTGGTACTTACCTGCTCGTGCACCTGGAAGGGTAACAGCGTGGTACAGAGTTGCTTATGCTGACCAGATTAGCGGCTGCATTTTTAATTGGTGGATATCAGATTGACAGGCTGAGCTGAGACTGTGCATAAAGTCCTGATTTATGTTAAAATAGTAAAAAAGTCTGCTTAGTCAACACTAAAGCTATTTGTATTCTCGGCTCTTTGCAATGTGGGCAAACAAAAATGCTGTTCTGTTTCATTTTGGAGCTCTGGGCTGCAGGGTCCAGCTCTTAAATATCCTTGGCTGTGTTTGTATCAAAATGAATTTCACTGAAACGTCCATAAATCATTCTTGCCAGCGTGAGGCTTCACAGGTAATTGAACAACATTAAGTTCGTCTCCTCTCTAAGCTGCTTTAAATTGCCTCTCCATGGCAATCATTGTATAAGGGTAAGCGGGCTCTGGGCTTGCCACCACTCCTGTGCAGAGCTCTGCCGACACGGGACACACGGACCCGAGGGCCTGGTGCACGGCTTCAGTCTTTCCACGTGGTCTCTGGTTCCTCCCCCGGTGTGTCGGTACCCGGTAGTGGTTCTCCCAACTCGTGGGTGGGTGCTTGCTCCTTCCTCTCTCTCTCTCCCAAACGTGTTGGAGCAGCTTTGCAGCTCCCTGTCAGAGGCTTGGGAGCCCTTCCCCACCTGAGTACTCAAGTGGCCTTTCAGGTACCAGTCCAAACTCCCTGCCATCATCCTGTACCCATAGGAAAAAAACAGGTGGTGGGAAGGCAGTGGGTTTCTGAGGCAGGACTTTGTATCCCATCTCCTCAGTAGAGCATCAATAGAGATCACACTTCTTCATAGCCTCTATTCCCTGGCTTTTCTTTTGGCTGCTTGTCCTGAAACAGTTGCTTTAGCACTGCCCAAGGTGGGTGGTGGGCAGCCCAGTCTCTTGCAAGCTTGAAGGTTTACAAATTACCAAGAACTAATGATAACAAACAACAAAATTGGTACTTAGCATGATTCCTGTGGCTGGGATCTGGATCCACCACTGACACAATACTGACGTGTCTTGTCTGTGCCTGTCCAGTAAAGCAGGAACAAACTCCACTTTTTAATTGAGAAAAAAAGGGGTTTGGTTTCTCTTTGATCAAATTCCACTGCATTTCCCTCACTCGTGACTGTGTGCTTCAGCACCAGGTGGACTATTGGGCACAGCTATGCTGATCAGTCTGAGCCTCCAAGCTCCTGTGCTCCCTCTGTTCCACAACCAATCTGGCTGCGGGTGCAGTGCTGGAAACAGGCATCGCTAACAGGGCACCAAACTGTTTCCCAGTGCCACTCAACTCTGGCTTATTCCCACAGTGTGGTTGGGGCAGAAGCATTAAAGTATTTTGAGGCGGTGGAGGAAACCAAACACCCTGCAAAACCTCTTTGCTGCAGCCAGAGGCAAACATTCCCTATGCCAGCATGTTGCATGATGTTTTAAATGCACAGATCTGTGGCTTTTCCAGAAAAGTAGTTATGTTTGTCATCCAAGGTTAGCCTCATACTTGTGCAAAACAGTAAGACAGTGAAGCAAGGAATTTTCCGCAGTTGTTTTGTTTCCCTTCTCCTGTCCTCACTCTCGTGATAAGCCAGTACAGAAGTTCATTGATGCGTTTTCATGGAAAGACGACAAATTAGACATCTGAGGTCAGTGTTCTTGCAGGGAGCACAAGGTTACCTTTGCAGGACAGGCAGAAGGGGCACGTACAGGATTTTATGCTTTATGTTGTGTGAGAAAAGATTGGAGAAAAGCTTCACGTTACAAACCGGAGACAGGAGCAGTTGGGCGTGTCCTCCAAAGTTGCCGTCTCAGCAGTGACGAGCCACTCTTCGTGTTGTCACCTGTCTTCATAGACAGCATCTCACAGATCACCTCTCCTCTCGAGTGTGACTACAGTATCCCACCAGCAATTACAATAATTACTTAAATGTGAAAGTAATACCAGACAGTATAATTAGCTATATATAACTGTTACACAGATGGCTGCAGTCACTGCAGGCGCCTCCTCTGGGCTGGCTTGGCATGACGGTGCCCAGCTGAGAGCATGGAGAAAGCAGAAAGGAGCCATCTCTTTCCCAGGTGTTTTTTTAGGTGTCCAGACTCTGCAGTGGGCAGCCATGGATGCAGTTGGCAGAAAAGGGGGTGCTGGTGCCAAGTGACCCTCCATCTCTGTGCCCATCGCTTGCCAGGGTCACTCACCAGAGATGTACTGGGAGAGTTTCAGGGAGGAATTATTTGGAGTAGAAGATAAAGGCTTGGTTTGGTGTTGTTGGCAAAACTGAAGGAGATAGCAGCATTGTGTAAAGCTGCTAAAAATCTTTATTATAATACATTATTATGTTATTAAAGTTATAATTATTAGGTATCAGCAGCGAGTCAAAGTAATACATTTAAAGTATAATTTTTACTTTGATAGTGTCTTTAGCGCATATGACAAAGCAGGAGAAGCCAAATTGGTTTTCTTAAAAATTATCTCTGATCTTTGAACAAATATGCATTAATTAAATGTGCCATGCCCAGATATTTGTGTACATAGCTATGGAAATAATTAATTTTCATACTTCTGCTTGTATTTTGAAGTTTTTTCTTCTATCAGCCTAGTGATGTCTGTGCTCGGAAATGGCTGTTTAACTCTTGGGATTTTTTTCCCCTCTACAAAAATGTGATTTTTTTCCTTACATCTGTTGCAACCATTTCAGCCCTTAAAGCACATAAAACAGAAGTGTCTATTGATCTCCTGAGTTGACTGGAATAAACTTTTAGCACTGCTTGGTTTAAAAACAAATTTGTTTCTCCTTGGAAAAATATGTCTCGGAGGTTTAAGGCATTGACTTTACAATTAACTAAAGGAAAAACTGGGGTTTTATTAGACAGTGCTTCTGAAGCCACTCTAATAACAAAACATATGTTTAATAAACTACATAACGTTGATGGCAAGGCGAAAAGCTTTGCAATAATTCCTTTGTAATCCGATTGAAATTCACGATCGGTGGAAGAGCTTGAATAGAGGAAAAATGGGAGAAGACAAACGTGGCACATCAAAACGCAGAACATGAAAGGACTTTGAAAAGGAGACTTCAAAGTTGGGGATCCAGATGCTGGAGTCACTAGCTGTGATTTGGGATGTGGGCACGGGAACGTGATTTCTGAGGGAGCAGTGCTTTTGAGGAGGAAACAGAAAGTCCTGATACAAGCCCGTCAGCTGTGGCAAAGAGAGAGGAGAACACTGCCTGTACACTCACAGGGATTTCAGTGGAGTTGTTCAGGGTCAGATTTGGGTTTGATCTGAGAGCTCAGCCTGCTGGCACGATGGGGATGAAGTTAATGCTAATGCAGATTTACAAAACTGCCTTGCAGTGACTCCAAAATCCTTTTTCATTGCTTTTCAACCTTGTCTAGGAAACACAGAAACTTATTGTGGAAGGAGAACTGGGGCCACAGGCAGAAAGCTGATGCTGAGTGTGAGCTCCTCTTCCCTGAGATACCCAACCACAGGAGCAGCACCTTCAGGGAAGGAGATGGCCAAGTTTCTGTAGGGATCCAGTGCTGTCACAGCACGTATGTGTAAAACAGCCAAAACAAGCAAAACCAGAGGCCTTGGCAGGATTTTGGAGGCAGTGGCTCAGACAGGGAAGAGGGACGCTGGGAACAGCATCTCTCTGTTGTT